AGACGCTTCTCCTGCTTGGTCTTCGAATCCAGGACCAGTCGATGTATATAGTGCTGACACCGACACATGAAACTGTGGAGCGCCGTTGAACTTCTCCTTGAAGGTGGCGCCGTCGCTGCTCAAACCGAGCTCCTGGGCTCCCCCTGGAGCTCCCTGCGCGGACGAGCCCAGAGCGGCTCTCGCGTCATCATACAAGAACCGAGGCAGTCGGCCCAATTTCAAATCTCCCCATGCTGGCGATCCAGAGCATTCGGACGACTCCGAATACGTCGGGAAGTTCTGCTCCAGCGAATTCCTCTCTCTAGCGAATTGTTCCACGTCGGGATATCTTTCACAGCAGATTTGCCCGAGGAAATGTTTCAGCTCCGGCGCATTCACGAGACCTTCCTCGATTTTCTGGGCGATCTCCTTCAGCGTGGCGACGCTGTACGAACATGAAAAAATGGCAACGCAGCCCCCCCGTCGTTTTCTGCGCCTCCACGGCGCCGAACAAAGCGTCCACGCGCCCGGCAATGCCTCCCACGGCTTCGGCGTTGCTGCCGAGGGCGTCCTGGCACGGCGAGGCAGATTCAGAGCACTGCGGACAGCGAGGGCACATGCGCACTCCGAGCATCGTCGCCAAGACCGCGCGGATCTGCACGAAGAATGTGTTGGAGGCGGCCAAGGGGTCCTCCGCGAGGAACAAGCGACGCGTGTCATATCCAGGAATGTTGACCTCAAACGCGTCCTCTGGCGACAGCTCCAGGCTCGGCGAATCGCTCTTTGCCCACTTCTGCCTCCTGCTCTCGCCTGCAACGAAAGGATCGTCCTGGCGGTATCTGCTGAGCCTGAGCGCTAGATAATTGTGCCGCTCTCCCGGGGAAATAGTACAGAATATGCCATTCCCGTAGTTGACGCACGCCCAGATCCCCAGGTGCCCAATCTTCGTCCGAATCTCCTGCGCGCCTGGAATGGCGCGGTATCGAAAGCGGAAGTCAGCCAAGAGCCGCCGCTGCAGGTTGCCGAGGCCGCCTGCGAAAATCAGCTTACTGGCATCATTGTTGATCTTGCGGCGTCTGCCATCGGGTAGCGCGTAGTAACCCGTCTCGAGCTTCTGCAGTAAATCAGCAGCGGCAATGGCAGCGTCGGTCTCCACGCTCTCCGCGCTTTGGCCTTGCAACCGTTCCCCTCGCTTGATGCTCAGGCTTGCTCCGAGATTGACGCGCTCACGAAAATATAGATTCCACAAGGCCGGCGCGAAGCCCCAAGTGCGTCGAAAAACGAAGATGCCGCCTCGTGATCCCTGGGTTTCCCCGTGCAGTCGCGGCATACGGGTACCTCGCACTGCGGGCAGAGTTTCCTGCAGAACGGCGGCGTCTCCCAATCCTCCGAATGTCTGTCGGGACACGCGAGGCATCGGGCTGCCTTCGAGGCTAAACTGGACGGCCCACCGAGACACGTGGCGCTCCTGGTTTTCGAGACTGGTTTGCGTAACGCTCGACGCGTCAACTGCACACGAGCGCGGCAAACGAAACTTGGAACTTCGACTATCAGACAGCGAAAAGGGCCCGATCGACGCCCAAAGGAAAAATGGCGGGCCCCCTCACACCCTTCGGAAGAGGAGGGGAACAACGGTCAACTGCTGTGTATTTATTCCTGTGCTTTCTTAATGTGTGTCTATGCGTATTTCATTTGTGAGTGCTTCTGGTTTGAATGTATGTGTGTATATGCATGGGGGGAATCAATGCCCTGATGTCGAAATAAGGATGGATCGTGCCGACAAAACCTCGAGAGTGGCGCGTCTCTGGGACATCTCGCGATGACCGCCGTGCCTGCATGTCACCGAGCGCTAGCCGCAACGACGCCCTGCTGACACGATAGCGGGGCGACTGGAGAAGGATATGACATACATCATAACCAAAAGTGGCGAGCCCGCAGCCGTGATGGACTACGTGCGGTACTTGCGCAACACAGCCACCTCGTGCCAAAAGCACAGTGGGCGCGAGCGTTCGGCTCGCAAGCCAAGTCACCATTGACGTCGTGGTCGTCGTCGTCGTCGTTGTCTCGACGTCGTCGTCGTCCTCTCGTCCTCGTCGAGGTCGTCGTGGTGAGCTGAGCTACGCTCACTGCCCTCGCGGCGTAAGCCTCGCCATCACGTTCCAGGCCATGCGAACCGAAGTGCATCGCGCCGACCGCACTGTCGAAGCTCAAAATGATGCGAGAATGCCGACAACCGACATTCTCCGCGCTCGCTCCAAGGAGCCCCCGTAGAGAGCAAGAGTACAAAAACGCACGAGCGCTTCTCCATGCCAGCCGCAAAAATGATGCTAGTAGGCGGAAACGATTACTGGTAGGCGGAGCGAAGCTCACAGCCACACTGAAATACTGGGAGCCAGAATGGCAACGACAGCGACGCTGGTCGGGAAAAATCGCTGGACTCGACGACGACCGCCCTCTGTCTTGCCTCCCAACTCCTTCCCACCCTCCTCCTCTTCAGACTCGTCCTCCTTCGGCTCCCCCCCCCAGGTAGCTATACAAGGACGGAGAAAGAAATAGGAGCACAGGGTATATGTAAAGGCAGACAGGCACACGCTTGCACCAAACGACTGGCGGCATGCTTCGCTGGGATTCCTGTTCGGAGATAGTACTACTACTACTGTTTCTACATCTACTACTACTACTACTACTACTACTACTACTACTACTACTACTACTACTACTACTACTACTACTACTACTACTTCTACTACTACTTCTACTACTACTACTACTACTACTACTACTACTACTACTACTACTACTACTCCTACTGCTACTATTACTACTACTACTACTACGACGACGACTAGTACAACTACTGCTGCTACTACTAGTACTACTACTGCTGCTATGACTGCCACTCTTGTTAGTACTACTACGAACACAACTACTTCTACGACGACGGCTATTTCTACTGCCACTGCTACTAGTAGTGTCGATGCTACTGCTACTACTACTACTACTACTACTACCACTACTCCTGCTACTGCTACTACTACTACTACTACGACTACTACTACTACTACTACTACGACTAGTAGTAGTAGTAGTAGTACTACTCATACTACTTCATCTGCTACTAGTACTTCTACTAGTACTACGCCTCATACTCCTCTTACTACTACTACTACTACTACTACTACTACTACTACTACTACTACTACTACTACTACTACGACTACGACTACTACTACTACTACTACTACTACTACTACTACTACTACTACTACTACTTCTACGACTCCACCTGCGAAAACCCCGATCACCTCGCACGCGGACGAGGTGCCCGAACGCCTCACCTCACAAGAAGGATTGAAAAGGAGGCGGGAGGAAGGAGGAACAGGGGAGATATGCGGAGCCCAGCGGACACACGCCTGAAAAACACAACTGTCGGCATGCTTCGCGAGAGTTGCTGCTGTGAGATGGGCTGGTGGGGATACGCGAAGCGTAAAGAATTCCTCCACCATCCTCCCCCTCTTGGGGTATGACGGCTTCCCCACCCATTTTTTGTTCCACTGCATTCTCCTCCACATCCCTGATCAGGGCAACTCGCCTGGGCATCGTTTCTGGATGGGCCGTTAGGATGTAGGCGGGGCGTATCGAATTGGTGGGAGGACTGTTGCAACATGATGATGGAACCGCTTTGCCTGCTACTACACCTGCACTGGCACATCAGGTGTTTCCAAACAGAATGCTCCTCCATGACTGAGCGGAGCGTTGTCAACGCAAGCGTCTCCGCCTGGAGCGCCGCGCAGTAGGTTTACCCATACGTGCTACGTCTCGCGCTGCGCACGCCAAACCCAACCCCCCTGACTAGTGCGACGCAAGCTCCCTGCCCATGCGAGTGCGCGAAGTGAGGGACGACATGGAAACAGCCAACGATGAGGATGTCCTATCAACAGCACACATCCGCTGGCAATCGACATACTCCAAGACACCAGAGAACGTCGTCCAGAATAGCTCCACTGTCAGAACGCACAGCTGCCACTTACGCGCAACTCGACTGATAGCAGAAGCTCGTAGAGCGTGCAACTCGCCGACTCGTTGGGCGCAGGTGTGGCATCTCCCTCCCTGGGGGCGTCGGCGCACCCGAGTGGACGGGGGAGAGGGGAGGGCTGCGCAGGAGGGACCAAAAGTGGACGAGGCCCCAGGCCCCTCAGGCCGACCCAGGGAAGCCAGAGCGGTCGGCAAGGTGCCCCACGAGGGCCCTGGCAGGCCGCGAGCACAGCCCAATCGGACTCCAGGACGCCACGCGGTGAAGGGGAAGACGGGGGAGGAGAAAGAGGAGGGTGTGAGGAGGGAGAAGCGGAGAATGTGCTGAAACATAGCGTGTCTCAACCACATGGGAAGGGAGGAGGAGGAGGAGGAGGAGGAGGAGGAGGAGGAGGAGAAGGAGGAGGAGGAGGAAGGCGCCGTGTTTACGTGAAGCATTGTGCATCGCTGTCCCGCAGCCCCAGTGTGGGGCCACCAGGCTACGCGGATTAGGCTTGCTTCTCCCTGCTCCAGTTCCAGTTTCCAGTCTCCCATGTTACAGTCTTGCTTTATGCTTCCTACTGTAAACTGTTGGAGTCCGCGCGAGGGGAGGAGCCGAAAAGTACCCTGGTTACCTTCACCTCGGGGGGTTCTCTGAATTTCTGGAGGTCCTGGGACACGTAAAAATACTTTAGGTTCGCACCCCCAAACCATAATCCCTCGTAGAGTACGCCATCTTTGCGCCCCCGGCGCCATAACCCCTCGTGAAATTACTCCATGTTCGCGTCTCCGAGGCCATACACACTCGCAACTTACGCTGTGTTCGCGCTCCCGAGACGATAATCCCTTTTAGATTACGCAATAGTCGCGTCTCCGAAGCAATATTCTCTCATAATGTACGCCGGATGCACCTGGATACCTGAACTGGCCCCCGTTCGGAGTTCCGACGCTGCTTCACGACGGCGCCCAGGCCTCACAACATAGCTCTTGCATACCTCATTGTCCGAGATAGGGGGCCAGCGGCAGAGGGCGAAGCCCTTGCGGATAAATTTACAGAACATGTCTTGGATGCTAAGTCGATGCTTGATTGTACACGCCCAGGCTCGCATGCACGAGCAGACCGTAGCAGATACCAAAGGTGCCTGGCATGCCAGGTGCCACGCATGCCTGCACATGCTGCACGCACGCTGGCGCAATATCCCTGACTCGCACTGCGTCGCGTACTCCCATTTGCACCACCTGCGCCTGCGCCTACACACAACCGGGCAGATGAACTGACATGTGCAGTCACATGCGTTGGCACTATGAGCGAAGCATGAAATATTAGGCACACAGGGAGTGCAGATGAGCGGAAATAAGGACCGACTCTCCTAGCTGCTGCAATAGACGGTCTGAGGGAAAGGAAAACGGGTGGAAGAGAGGCATCTCGCTAAAACATAAAAAAGAACGAGTTCACAGATCTGGTAGCATTGCGCCTCCTTCAGTGTCATATCCTTGTTGTACTGCTCCTTGGCAAGTTAAAGAATATCGCTGATACCAAAACGGCCTTCTGAATCTTCGGGCCACGGCGACTGAACAATCGCGGAAAAACTGATAGCCGAAAGCGCAGTTGCTATCGTCGCTCGCCTGAACGATGGCCCACACCCTAAGGCCCGAACAGTGTTCTGAAACTGCCACGCCTTCGCAGTCTTGACCCCCACACACACACACACACACACACACACACACACACACACACACACACACACAAACGCACACACACACACTAGCAGAGAGGCGCCAGCGAGGATGGAGTGGGACAAATTGTGACCGAGAGGTGAAAGGGAAGGCAATGCCGCGATCTAGAGGCGCTGGCTGGATGGAGAGGGTCCCCCCGAGGGAGCGGTCAGAAGAGAGAGGATGTGAAGAAATCAAAGCAACATCGCTGAGCAGCCAGTCTGGTTGTGCTCGCAGGCTGGCCAAAACGACAGCACCTTCTGAAAAGCATGCGCTCAGTCCTGCAGCAGGTTGGTGGACCCCTCCTGCGCGCTGCCGATGGAAGCAGCCTGGTACTTGGTGAATGTGCCTCTCGGGGATCGGCACTGCTTGCTCGTGCTTCGCGTCGCAAGGCCAACTCCTGCCTCAAAACACCCATGCCCTCGGCAATCCCACTCGAATCCTCCAACACCGCTGGCGGGGAGGGGGAGAAGGCACCGTGTTACTGATAGGGTGGGAGTGACCGCCAGAGCCTCATCAGCCTCTCGTCCCTCCCCCCGCCCACCCAACCCACACCCCGTCTTCCTGACAGCAGGTGGTGCACGTGTACGCGTCCACCCAGGTGCTGCGCAAGGCCTTCTGAAAGCAAGCTAACCCAACCCGAAGACCCGAATTTCGGGTTGGGGGGGTATGGGCTCCATATGTGTTTTTTCGATGTTCCCGGCCCCCCCCCCACTGGAAATCGAGGGTAAATCTGAGCCTTCGGGTTGGGTTGGGGTGGTTTGGTGGGTGGTGAGGAGGGGGCGGCAGCGCATCCTTGCGAACCTGGCCCCCGTGCCTGAAAGCAAACTCGCTCCAGTGGTCACACGGTGAGGCCCGTCAGCGTGCCGCTCCCCGCCGCGACAGCCGCCCACGGAAGGCCCCGAGGCGGCCGAGGGCAGCGCCGGGGGGAGCTCGAGGACCCCCCGACGGCCGCGGGACCCGCTCGGCCGCGGCTGGCCGCGCTGCACGAAGCGGCCGCGCCAGAATCTGCCCGACGGGCGGCGGGGCACCAGGGGGCGAGGTGCGGATGGCTATGCTCCCTCTTCCTCCTCCCCCTCCCCTCGTCCCCCCCTGCCCTCCTTCCCACCTCCCCTTCTCCTCCCCCTGCCCTCCTCCCCTCCTGCCCCTGCCCTCCTCCCCTCCTCCCCCCTGCCCCCTCCTCCCCCTGCTCTCCTCCCAACTCCTCTCCCCCCGCCTCCCCTCATCCCCCCCTGCCCCCTCCTGCCTCTTCCTCCTCCCCCTCCATGTTTTCATGCTCCTCCTCCTCCTCCTCCTCTCCCTTGGCTGGTGCTCGGCGTCGCGCAATTCCCTTCCCCTCCGTGGGGAAGGCGGCAGTGCAAAAATGGAAGAGGACGCTCCGAGGCAGCTCCACGACTCCTCACAGGCCTCCGACGTGTGCCCAGAAGACGTCACGAGGGGCTCCCAAGAGGTACCCGACCTGCCTCATGAGACACCCGAAAGGGCAAGCGCTAGCAGCTAGCGTTCGGCCTACAACTGGTTCCTGCCATGACGGCATGGACTCGTGTAAATAGCACCACGTGAACCGTTCAACCTGTAACGATACTGGAGAAAAAAACCCTATCAGGGCTATGGGGCTAGGGGGCTATAGGGCTGCAGGGCTATTGAGCTATAGGGCTATAGAGCTATAGGGCTATAGAGTTGTAGGGCTATTGGGCTATTGGGCTATTGGGCTATAGGGCTATAGGGCCATAGGGTACGTGAACCGTTCAATCTGTACATCTCTCTCTCTCTCTCTCTCGGTCCCCCGAGGCTATCGACCCCATCGTCCGTTGGAATGCTGCGGCGCGCGCTGCTCTCTGCAGGTCCTTGGGCCCGAAACGGGGCCCCAGAGGGTGTTCACAAATCAAAGTGCCAGCCGAGCTCACAAAACGTCGGTCTCACAAACAATCGATCGATGTCGTAATCTGCCTACCGATCGGTACCACTACCTATCAGCAGACATCACTATCTACCTTTAGTTTGATATCGCTGCTTATCGATCAGTCTCACTTCTACAGACGGGACAGCCGCAGAACAGCAACGGGACAACCACGGGACGACCTCTGGACAACCAACCACGAACCAACCACGGGCCAACCACGGGACAACCATGGAACATCCACAGAACAATCAGATGGAAACAGCAAGGCAGTCAACCACAGAACAATGACGAGACAACAACGAGACAACCGCGGGGGGCAACACAAGACAGCCACAGGACAAACCACGGAACAACCACGGGACAACAACGGGACACGGGAACAGCCAAGGGACGACCACGGGGCACGGGACAACCACGAGACAACCACGGGATAACCACAGGACAACCACGGGACAACACCGGGACAACCGCGGGACAAGTACGGGTAAACCAAGGGACACCCGCGCGACAACTGGAGCGATCATCGGGGCAGATCCCGGGCCGGCCCTGGCGAACGTGGCTCCTTCCAGCCTGGCCTGGCCCTGGCTAGTGCAGGAAATCTCGCGCGGCTTCGCCCTGCCCGCTCGCGCGGCACGAGCCGCAGCCGACACCAACTTCCTGGCTGGAGGGGGCCCCGCTGCCCTCGGTCTCGCGCCCCCAACCTCCGATCGTGCTCAGCGTAAAGGATCCTGAGTTTGCAGGTGGCTGCTATCTCCCCCCTTGTCCATCTCCGTCTGGGAGCGCGCCGGTGCCCACGAGCGCTGGCGGCCTGAAGGGTCCGTGTTGAAGAGGACCGGTCCTGGCTGGGTTCGGCTTCAGTCGCTCCTCTCTCCTCTCGCGCGCCGACCTCTTCTCTCACGTTTCCTTATTGTGTTCAGCTTGGTGGAAAAGATTAGATTCAACATGTATCGGCATAGCCATCACCGGCCCTGTCGCCATCATCGTCGCCATCAAGTCGAGGTCGTCGTCGCCCAAAGCGTAGTGGTGGTTGCTGTCACCACCATCACCATTTTCGCGTGATGACCATCGATTACTGCCCACAGCTCCATGCTCAAAACATGATCCAAAGCACGGGCTGACCGAAGATGTCATCGCCAGTCAGTGCAACACATTGCAGAAGAAACGAACATTCAGCTGGCGCAGCGCCTGAGACACAGAATGGATTCATCTCGCCCCCTGAGATCCATATCATAAACCTCTGCTCCAAAACGACGCCCTCCAGCCCTCCAGAGACACCTAAGTGAGCTCGACTCGCAGCAATGTGTCCGAATATGGAATCAGCAAAACAAACATACAACGCCATAGAGCAAAGAGGTCCGTCAGTTGGGTCATAGCCTCCGACCTCGCGCGCCGCGCACGCACGCGGAGGAACCCCCTCTCTTCTCCTGCGCACTGTGCACTGCACCTCTCCGCTCCGCATCTGGGCCACGGCCTTCTGGGCCATGGTCTTCTGGAATCTGTGACTGCTAGACCTGCGGGACGTTGACCGATCTCCCCTTCCAGGGTCTTCGGAGGCCCCCACAGGCCCCACAAGCCCAAAAACAAGCAAACAGCAAAGACCTCCCGGCCCACACTTCTCCATCATCCTACCCAAACGGGCTCGATGAGACGGGATGTGAGCTCCGCTGCCACTGGCGTGCTGCCCCGCCCAGAACCACATTGGCGTCTCCACTTCCTCTTTTCAGCCATTCCTCCTGACCGCGACCACGTTGAAAACTCGTCCGTCCCTGCTTACTCCGACCGTTTCTCATCTCACAACTGTTCCTGTTCCCGTTCCTGCTGACACTCGTGCTCGCACTCGTATCGAGTCTCCTCGCGCCACAATTGCTCGACTCTCGTTGTTTATCGCATGTTCGTTCGCAGTGCTACCTTTATCGGAAATCCTGTTCCTGCCCCTACTCTCACTCGTCCTCGAACTGCTGGCCCTTGCCAAATTATCACCATATCCTCATTCGGCATCATGCCTTCGCGTAGAGTAGTTCAAGATTCGGCCAGTGCCACGAAACCGTCATACAAACACAGCATCTAGACTGCGCCTTGTTCTGAAGCGACGGCGCAGCCAATGCGTGTAAGCAGAATGCTGAAGCTCAAAGCTAAGGATGATCGTTACATCTAATCAGCCTTAAACCTGAGAAACAATACCAAACCCGTTCGACCAAACGCCAAAGCCAAAGCTGAAAGCAAAATGTCTGATACTTGGATGGTGTGATGTGGTGCCTCACAATGCGTCTTGTAGCGTCAACCAGATCGGAAGCTAAATCCGACCAGCTTTCTGGGCATGGGAAGCTCAGTGGATCTGCTCTTTCGAACAGTCCCTCTTTTCCCCCCTAGCATGGGTTGCTCCCCGCTTCCCCTTCCCGACGACGACGACGACGACGCGCGAGTCGTCCCGCGCTATGAACCTGCGAGTCGTCCGGCGCGAAAGTCGTCCCGACGACGACGACGACGACGACGACGACGACGACGACGACGACGACGACGACGCGCGCGTCGGCCCAATCCCCAGAGCTGTGAACCTGCGGGGACGCCATGCACTTCCTCTCTACACGCACATTCGCCATCCAGCACGAAACAGAGATGAGGCCACCAGGGGTGCAAGCGGCAGACCGCTCCACAGCTCAGGCACTGACTTACAGGGACTCCGCTCAGGCCCCCACCGCACACTCCGCTGCAGGTGTCACGTCATATCGTGCTGCGCAGCAAAACATGCGAGAGAGCAAGCGATCAGGAAAGACAGCGGGCGGAGCGACGAGCAACGCTACGCCGAAGGGACGGGACATCACCCTCTTCTTGCCCTGCCAGATATTTGTGACGGAGGGGATGGCAAAGATGATTCGTAGGTTTACCTGCTGAAGACGGGTAATCCCACATAGCGCACCAGCTCAGGTAACGAGATGCGTTAGCACTGAGTACCAGCCATACATACCTGTAGGACCAACACTCGGATAATGAGGAGGCTGGGAGGATGGGTGAAGCGTTCGATCTACGATGGGCGTCGGATCGGATTCGCGATCTGTCTAATGAGCTCGATGTCTGCCTACCGATCTCACTCTAGGAAGCTGGGCGAGGGCTGCTAAAACCGTGGCTGCTAAAACGGCCCTCCCGGAATGAAAAAACAACTTCCCGGAATGAGGCGTGGCACGCGAAGCAGTCAACGGACTTCTTCCCGGAAGGACGAAGACAACTTCCCGGAGGTCGATTTTAGCAGCCACGGATTTAGCAGCCCTTGCCCGGCTTCCGACACTCATTGGTCCCACTATCTATCCATCGACCCCACCACCAAAACAGCGACCGATCCACTTGTCTGCCGATCTGGCCGTAGTCATCGCCACGTCGTCGTCATCGCCACGGTGTCTGCCACCGTGCCCGTAGACACGATGGCTCCACGGAGCACTGTTCCATCCGCCGGCTCCCCTGCGGGGCCATCCGTCTGCGAGGATTAGGCTCGCTGCTCCCTGCACCAGGTTCCAGTCTCCAGTTTCCAATGTTACCGTACTGCTTTCTGCTTCCTACTGAAAATTGTGACTGTCCGCGCGAAGGGGGGAAGCCGAAAAGGATTCTGATTACCACGCCCGAGTCGTGTGCTCTGACTTGCTGGGTGGCCGTGGGACACGTAAAAATACATGAAATTCCCGCTCACGACGCAATAATCCTTTGTAAATTGCACTGAATTCGCGCCCCCGAGGCCACGATCCCTATTGAAATACACTGTATTCTCGTCCCCGAAGCAATGATCCTCCGTAAAATATACAATGTTCACGCCCCTGAGGCCACGATCCCCCGTAAATTACACAACGTTCTCGCCTCTGGGGCCACGATCCCACCTTAATTACGCCACAGTCGCGCCCCCGAGGCTACAATCCTTGGCAAATCCCACCAGCCCTTTGGGCGTGAGTGGTTTAGCGAGCTCTCTCTGTTCTCAACCCCCCTTCTTCCCCTTCGGGGAGGGGTTTACCCCTCCCCCTACCCCCTCCCCCTGGGCCTGGACAGGGACTCCAGGGTGTTCTCAGGGGTGTCTTTTTCGACCCCTGGGAGGGCCAAAAAACGACGACCCTCACGAGGATTCTGGCCCCGTCGGGGGGACAGAGAAAAAACCTCTCCTCGTCTGTGAAGCCAAAATCATTGATTTTACTACGGTGTTGGCCCCATTTTGGCCTTCTGAGGGGGCAGCGCTCCTCTTCCTGCTTCTCAAAATCATTGATGCTACGAAGGTTTTGGGCTCATTTTTTCCTTCTCAGGGGGTAGCGCCCATTTGCGCTTCTGAGAAGGTCGCAAGAAGCCCCCAAGAGGCCCCAAGATGCCCCCAGGAGGCTCCCAAGAGGCCTCCAAGAGGCTCCCAAGAGGCCCCCAAGAGGCCCCCAGAGGCTCCCAACAGGCACCCAAGAGGCCCCCACGAGGCCCCCAAGAGGCCCCAAGAGGCCCCCAAGAGGCCCCCAAGAGGCCCCAAGAGGCAAGAGGCCCCCAAGAGGCTCCCAAGAGGCCCCACGAGGAGCCCGAACGACTCACACCAGGACGAGGGGCCCGAACGACTCACACCACGAAGAGCCCGAACGACTCACACCACAAGGAGAAGGCCCGAACGACTCATACCAGGACGAGGCGCCCGACCGACTCACACCACGAGGAGCCCGAACGACTCACACCACGACGCGGGCCTCCAACGACTCACACCACGTGGAGCCCGAACGAGTCACACCAGGAGGAGGGGCAGCGCTCATACAAGCCCTCCAAGAGGGCCCCCAGAGGTCCACCAGATGGCCCCAAGATTGCGCTTCTGAGAAGGTCGCAAGAAGCCCCCAAGAGGCCCCAAGATACCCCCAGGAGGCCCCCAAGAGGCCCCCAAGAGGCCCCCAGAGGCTCCCAACAGGCACCCAAGAGGCTCCCACGAGGCCCGCAGAGCCCCCAAGAGGCTCCCAAGAGGCCCCCAAGAGGCCCCCAAGAGGCGCCCAAGAGGCCCCAAGAGGCCCCCAAGAGGCCCCAAGAGGCCCCACGAGGAGCCCGAACGACTCACACCAGGACGAGGGGCCCGAACGACTCACACCACGAAGAGCCCGAACGACTCACACCACAAGGAGAGGCCCGAACGAGTCACACCAGGAGGAGGGGCAGCGCTCATACAAGCCCTCCAAGAGGGCCCCCAGGGGTCCACCAGATGGCCCCAAGATTGCGCTTCTGAGAAGGTCGCAAGAAGCCCCCAAGAGGCCCCAAGATACCCCCAGGAGGCCCCCAAGAGGCCCCCAAGAGGCCCCCAGAGGCTCCCAACAGGCACCCAAGAGGCTCCCACGAGGCCCGCAGAGCCCCCAAGAGGCTCCCAAGAGGCCCCCAAGAGGCCCCCAAGAGGCGCCCAAGAGGCCCCAAGAGGCCCCCAAGAGGCCCCCGAGAGGCCCCACGAGGAGCCCGAACGACTCACACCAGGACGAGGGGCCCGAACGACTCACACCACGAAGAGCCCGAACGACTCACACCACAAGGAGAGGCCCGAACGACTCATACCAGGACGAGGCGCCCGACCGACTCACACCACGAGGAGCCCGAACGACTCACACCACGGCGCGGGCCTCCAACGACTCACACCACGTGGAGCCCGAGCGAGTCACACCAGGAGGAGGGGCAGCGCTCATACAAGCCCTCCAAGAGGGCCCCCAGAGGTCCACCAGCTGGCCCCAAGAGGTTCCCAGATGGCCCACAGGAGGTCCCCAGGATTCACCACGAGGTCTCCATGAGGCCCCGAAGATACCCCCATGAGGTTCCCAAGAGGCCCCAAGAGGCGCCGAATACTCCCCAAGAGGCCTCCGAGCGGCTTCCACAAGACATCTACTACTACTACTTGTTCTCCTACGAGTACTACTACTTTTACTACTACTACTACTACTACTACTACTACTACTACTACTACTACTACTACTACTACTACTACTACTACTACTACTACTACTACTACTACTACTACTACTACTACTACTACTACTACTACTACTACTACTACTACTACTACTACTACTACTACTACTACTACTACTACTACTACTACTACTACTACTACTACTACTACTACTACTACTACTACTACTACTACTACTACTACTACTACTACTACTACTACTACTACTACTACTACTACTACTACTACTACTTACTACTACTACTACTACTACTACTACTACTACTACTACTACTACTACTACTACTACTACTACTACTACTACTACTACTACTACTACTACTACTACTACTACTACTACTACTACTACTACTACTACTACTACTACTACTACTACTACTACTACTACTACTACTACTACTACTACTACTACTACTACTACTACTACTACTACTACTACTACTACTACTACTACTACTGCTACTACCACTACCAGTACTACAACTGATCCTACTGGTACTACTTCTACTACTACGACTAGGAGCCGAAGAGGAGGAAGAGGAGGAGGGAGAGAAGGCGATGGGAGGCAAGACAGAAGGCGGTCGTTCTCCAGTCCTACACGTAACCGACTCTGTCGACTCACACGACGGCGACGTCCTGGACCAGAATGCATGTGGTGTGCGTCGTTGGGGCCCCTCGCCCTGGTGTGAGTCGTTCGGGCCCTTCCTTGTGTGAGTCGTTCGGGCCCCTCGCCGAACGACTCACACATCGAGGAGGGGCCCGAACGACTCTGTCCAGGAGGGGGGACCCGAACTACTCACACCAGGAGGAGGGGCCCGAACGACTCACACCACGAAAAGCCCGAACGACTCACACCACAAGGAGGAGCCCGAACGACTCATACCAGGACGAGGCGCCCGACCCATTCACACCACGAGGAGCCCGAACGACTCACACCACGACGCGGGCCTCGAACGACTCACACCAGGACGAGGCGCCCGACCCATTCACACCACGAGGAGCCCGAACGACTCACACCACGTCGCGGGCCTCGAACGACTCACACCACGAGGAGCCCGAACGAGTCACACCAGGAGGAGGGGCAGCGCTCATACAAGCCCCCCAAGAGGGCCCCCAGAGGTCCACCATATGGCCCCAAGAGGTCCCCAGATGGCCCACAAGAGGTCCCCAGGAGGCACCACGACGCCTCCATGAGGCCCCAAAGATACCCCCAAGAGGTCCCCAAGAGGCCCCCAAGAGGCCCCAAGACGCCCCCAAGAAGCCCCCAAGAGGCCCCACGAGGAGCCCGAACGACTCACACCAGGACGAGGGGCCCGAACGACTCACACCACGAAGAGCCCGAACGACTCACACCGCAAGGAGGGGCCCGAACGACTCATACCAGGACGAGGCGCCCGACCGACTCACACCACGAGGAGCCCGAACGACTCACACCACGACGCGGGTCTCGAACGACTCACAACACGAGGAGCCCGAACGAGTCACACTAGGAGAAGCCAGCGCGCATACTACTACCAGTACTACCACTGATCCTACTGGTACTACATCTACTACTACGACTAGGAGCCGAAGAGGAGGAAGAGGAGGAGGGAGAGAAGGCGATGGGAGGCAAGACAGAAGGCGGTCGTCCTCGAGTCCTACACGTAACCGACTCTGTCGACTCACACGTCGGCGACGTCCTCGACCAGAATGCAGGCGGTGTGCGTCGTTGGGGCCCCTCGCCCTCGTGTGAGTCGTTCGGGCCCTTCCTACTGTGAGTCGTTCGGGCCCCTCGCCGAACGACTCACACATCGGCGTGAGTCGTTCGGGCCCCTCGCCGAACGACTCACACATCGAGGAGGGGCCCGAACGACTCTGTCCAGGAGGGGGGACCCGAACTACTCACACCAAGAGGAGAGCACCGAACGAATCCACTGCACCGTGCTAGCGGCCACACCCACCCATTATTGATGCAGGGGTGTCTCACAGGGTACTCCCAGTAGTGAACGAGAGACTATACAGCATCTCAGCCCACTGCCGGACACCCGAAAGAACCCCGCAATCACCAAGAATAAAAGGCAATAGCGGCGAGTACACTAACCAGCACCATCACCTCAGCAGAATAACAAGCACCAGTACAGCATACAGAAACCAGTACCAGCGAACCCACGAACAGAAACTCAATTGAGGAAACATCTCGACTCCCCACTCGCTCTCCCCAGTCGTCCAATCCACTGTATCCGAGGCAATAGCGGCGAGTACACTAACCAGCACCATCACCTCAGCAGAATAACAAGCACCAGTACAGAATACAGAAACCAGTACCAGCGAACCCACGAACAGAAACTCAATCCCACCAGCCCTTTGGGCGTGAGTGGTTTAGAGAGCCCGCTCTGTCCTCAACCCCCCAACCCCCCTTCTTCCCCTTCGGGGAGGGGTTTACCCCTCCCCCTACCCCCTCCCCCTGGGCCTGGAGAGGGCGCGCCGCGGGTGGTTGGAGGGGTCTTTTTCGACTCCTGGGAGGGCCAAAAAACGACGACCCTCACGAGGATTCTGGCCCCGAGGGGGGGGGAGCTTGGTCCCTGAACTCGTCGTCGAAGTCAAAAACATTAATGTAACTAGGGTTTTGGCCCCATTTTGGCCTTCTGAGGGGGCCGCGCTCCTCTTCCCTCATAGCAAAATCATTGATTTTACGAAGGTTTTGGGCTCATTTTGTCCTTCTCAGGGGGCAGCGCTCATCTGCGCTTCTGAGGAGGTCGCAAGAGGCCCCAAGATGGCCCCAAGAGGCCCCCAGGAGGCTCCCAAGAGGCCTCCAAGAGGCCCCCAAGAGGCCCCCAAGAGGCCCCAAGAGGTCCCCAAGAGGCCTCCAAGAGGCGCCCAAGAGGCCCCAAGAGGCTCCAAGAGGCCCCCAAGAGGCCCCCAAGAGGCCCCCAAGAGGCCCCCAAGAGGCCCCAAGAGGCTCCAAGAGGCCCCCAAGAGGCCCCACGAGGAGCCCGAACGACTCACACCAGGACGAGGGGCCCGAACGACTCACACCACGAAGAGCCCGAACGACTCACACCACAAGGAGGGGCCCGAACGACTCACACCAGGACGAGGCGCCCGAACGACTCACACCACGAGGAGCCCGAACGACTCACACCACGACGCGGGCCCCGAACGACTCACACCACGAGGAGCCCGAACGAGTCACACCAGGAGGAGGGGCCCGAACGACTCACACCAGGATGAGGGGCCCGAACAACTCACACCACGAGAAGCCCGAACGACTCACACCAGGACGAAGAGCCCGAACGACTCACACCACGAAGAGCCCGAACGACTCACACCAGGAAGAAGGGCCCGAACGACTCACACCAGGACGAGAAACCCCAAACGACTCAAATCACGAGGAGCGCTCTCTCTCCCTCCTCCTCCGCCACGTCCTTCTCCCGCTCCCCCCACAAGGAGGATGTACAAGGAGGCGAGAGGAACAAGGAACAGGGGAGATATGCGGGGCCAAGCGGACACACGCCTGAAAATCACGACTGTCGGCATGATTCGCAAGAGTTGCTGCTGTGAGATGGGCTGGTGGGGATACGCGAAGCGTAAAGAATTGCTTTACATTCGCGCCCCTGAGGCCACGATCTCCCACAAGAGGCCCGAAGAGGCGCCCAAGACGCGCCCAGGAGGCCTCCAGGAAGCCTAAAAGTACTCCACGAGGCCCCAAGGGGCCCCCAAGAGACGCCCAAACCGCCTCCAAGAGGCCCCCGAGAGGCTCCCCACAACACCCCAACACATATACTAAAGGCCTCAGACCCACAACCCAGGCACGGTGGCGCGATGGGCCGAAGGCCACTACGATCCGCCGCCCCCTGTCGATTCATCGCAGGGGTGCCTGGCGTGCTAGACGATTTCGTTGTTGGGTTTGGTTCTTGTTTCAAAAAAGAACTCCCCCTGGGGCTTCGGCCCGTCCCGCCGGCCACCCGGAAGACCCGGTTGCAAACGGTTTTCCTGCCCCAGACGGCCCCAAGGTGGCCTCCAAGACGGCTAAGATGATCCCAATATGCCTCCAAGACGGCCCAAGATGCACCCGAGACAGCCTAAGATAGCCTCAAGATGGCCTAAGACGGCCCAAGAGGCCCCCAAGAGGCCTCCCAGACGCTCCAAGAGGTCCTCCAGGAGGGCCCGAAGAGGCCAAAAGCATTGATGTTCCTGAGGTTTTTGAAGGATTGTGGTATTTGCTTCTTTTCGGCCTTCCGACGGCTCAAGAAGGCCCAAGAGGCCCCCACGATCGCCCCAAGATCGCCCACGAGGCCTCCAAGATGGCCCCAGAACGGCCCAAGAGGCCCCCAAGACGGCCCCATGAGGGCCCCAAGACGGGCCAAGAGGCCTCCAGGACGCCCAACATGGCCTCTAAGACGGCCCCGAACGCCCCAAGAGGGCCCCAAGCCGGCCCAGAGAGGCCCCCAAGACGGCTCCCGACGGCGTCAGACGTGCCAGGAACCCACCAAGATTGCCGAAGTTGGCTCGAAGCTAGCCCAAGACGGCCCAAGAGGCCTCCAAGAGGGCCTCCAGGAAGGCCAGAAAAGGCCAGAAACATGTGTTTCTTATGTTTCTTGAAGATTTAGACATTTGCTTCTTTTCGGCCTTCCGACGGCCGAGACGGCCCAAGAGCCCCCAAAAATCGCCCAAAGATCGCCCAAGAGGCCTCCAACATGGCCCCAGAACGGCCCAAGAGGCCCCATCAGGGCCCCAAGACGGCCCCATGAGGGCCCCAAGACGGGCCAAGAGGCCTTTAAGACGCCCAAGATGGCCTCCAAGACGGCCCTGGAGCATTCCAAGAGGTCCTGCAAGAAGGCCCGAAAGGGTCAAAATGGCCTCCAGAAGATGACCTTCAAGATGCCCACGTGTTCCCCGAAGGCTTTCCAAACCGATTCGGGGAACACATGGTCCGAAAGCTTGGCAGGTCTGGCCTCAACGTTCGGCCACATAGGCGCTTCCAAAAAGGCAGGGGGCGGCGGTGATTCACCGTAGGCGTCTTCGATAACGCCAACGTTTCAATATGCGCTGATGACTCCTATCCGCCCCCGCATGCTGTTCCCAGATGCGCCAAGACAGCGCCGAGACGCACCGGCGCGACTCTGTTATATCCCATTTATGATAGAGAGGCTGGCGGCAGGGGGCGAAGCCCTTGCGGATAGCAACTTGCACTTGGCATGCTATGTTGTGCGTTTCGTCCCTCGGTGCCAGCCTGATGATACAGAAGCTTGAATGTCAAAACAGTCTTGCGGCATAAACAAAATATGCGCGATCGTGGAATAACTATTGCACTAGATCGCGCTGTTGGTTGTCCTATGGTTGTCCCGTAGCTGTCTATTTCATACACTAGCAGTGTATCTATCGATCTCACTGTCTCTCGGTCTCACTATCTATTGGCACCGCTACCTATCGATCGATCACGAAATCATTCTACGTTCTACGAACCTACCAAGATTAAACTCTATCGATCGGTCTATATGTAGACAGGACAACTACGAGCAACCTTGAGACACCCACGGGACAAGCACGGGGCAAAAATGGGACAACCGCGGGACAAACACGGACAACCACAAAGCAACAGCAAGACAACCACTGGACAACCACGGGACAACCACGGGACAACCACGCGGCAACCGCAGGACAATCACGAACAACCATGGGACAACCTCGGCATGACCAAGGCACAACCACGGGGCAACCGCGGGACAACCACTTGACAATCTTGGGACAACATGGGACAACCACGCGGTAACCACGGGACCACCGCGGGGCAACCACTCGACAACCGCGGGACAGCCCGGGGCTCACCGCCTGCCGACGGTGAGCAACACCTTATGGCGCCCTGCCCTGACAAGGCCAGGATGCCTTTCACCCTCGCGCAGCTTCGCCTCGCCCGCACGCCCGTCACCCACGACACGAATCCAGACCGAAACCGATGTCCGGGGCGGGGGACCCCATTTCAATTCGATCTCTATCCCCCAGCCTCCAACAAACGAAGCGTCAGCGAACCCAAAGCCCTGGGGTCTGGGACTAGGGATCCTTGATGCCTGGCCGGCAACCATGAGATGATGAACCAACAGCTGCTATGCCAACAGCTCATACCGCGCCCATCCTCCTCATCATCCGAATCATCATCTTGGCACGGCCGTCTCGGCTGAAGTCGGGCAGGCCGCAAAATCTACACGCTTGGCCCAACACACTTCGGCGCGCAGCCCTCTCCCGGCTGGCCAGGAGCGCGAGCACCAACGGGAACGTGCCAGGATAGCAACTTGGCATTGGAACTCTCTCGCCCTTTCCCTCTCGTCCAAACATGTTCGACGATCCCGGCCTCGCGCGCAGCGACGACGCGGAACGACCCCTTGAAACACCACAGAACTGGCGCGCGCGGCCAGGCCTTCAGACGCGGGACCCCAATGGACCGAACATCATACAAACATACACACACGGTTACTGACTGATTGTGCGCAACGCTGCCTCGCGCGTCTGGCCGCTTACGCGGCCATCGAATCTCCTGAGACGGACAAGCACCCAAAGGGCGGGAAACTTGACCACACATGCACACGCACGCGCGCACACACACACAAAACATGCACACACACACACACACACACACACACACACACACACACACACACGCACAAACACACACACACACACACACACACAACTACAAACACAGACACAGACACAGACACACACACACACACACCAACACACACCAACACACACACACACACAGTCGCGCACACGCACGCACGCACGCACGCACGCACGCACGCACGCACGCACACACACACGCACACACACAGACACACACACACACACACAGACACAGACACACACACACACACAGACACACACACACACACACACCGAGACAAACTCGTGGTCCTTGTTGTCCGCAAAGTCCAGCGCAAGGTCTGCGATAGAGTGCACGTTGCTCTCCACAGGCATCCGCTCGTTGTAGGTGAACCAGTGGCCCTCGCGGGCAGCTGCCCGCACCATGCAAAAATCTAACCGCACCGCGTGCTCAGCAGGACCAGAAGCTTAAGACATTGAGATGGAGAAGGAGGACACTGAAACCGAGGAATGAAACCGACGGTTCCCGATGAAAAAAGGGCACGCCCACAGACCAGGCGCCAACCGTTCCCGCAAGAAATATTGCATCACACGGATTCCAGAATGCCGACCTGTGCGGCCGCATGGCGTCGATGAGCCCTGGTCGCCCCGATCTGCATCCGGGCATCCTCTCTCCTCTTTTCTCCCAGTCCTCCTCCTCCTCCTCCTCCTTGAACCTCGTTTGGTATCTTCTCCGTTTGCTTTTGCTTCTCCTATGGGTGGAAGAGCTTTGTTTCTTCTTTACCTCCCTCCCTCTCCTACGTATCCTCCCCCTTCCTCCTCCCCCTCCTCCTCTTCCTCCTCCTCCACCTCCTCCTCCTCCTCCTCCTCCTCCTCCTCCTCCACCTCCGCATCCTCATGTCCTTCCTCCTCCTGGTCCTTTTTTCCGCATCCCTTCTCCGTCTTTCCCCCCCTCCCTCCCTCCCTCCTTCCGTCGTCCTCCTCATCCTCGCCCCTTTCTCATCCTGATCCTCCTCCTCATTCATCCACACTCGTCCTGCCCTAAATCCCCTCATCTTCCTCCTTCCTCCTGATCATCCCACTCGTCCTGCTCCTCCTGTTCCGCCTCCTCCGCTTTCTTCTCGTCCTCGTCTTCCTCCTCCTCCTCCTCCTCCTCCTCCTCCTCTTTCTCCTCTTCCTCCTCGTCCTCCTCGTCCTCCTGGACGATCTAGGGAGGTCCACAGTCCCACAGTACACGACTACGAACTAGATAAGGGAGCACCCACCCACTTCATCGGATGCTGAACTTTGGCGGCCTGCTGCAGCGCTAGCGCCTTGTCGCCGAGCGGGAGCCTGGCGATCGGCGAAGTTGGGCCAAACTCGAACCTGGTGTCTGGCAGCCTGCCCGCGAGGAGGGCCCCAAGTTCCTTGAATGTGGGATCAAGAGCGCATCTCTCCTTTAAAGCCAGGGCCTTTGTGGCCGAACAACCCCCGCACGCTACACTGAAAAGACAAAGGGTCACATGAGAGATCGCCCACGCAGCACGCAGAGAATGCTGGTTATACCCAGGGTTGCTGAGCAACCTGAGAAGAGGAGAATTCAGCCTGCCGCTGCAGCCGAAAGCGCGCCTGGAACTCACGCGTCTCGTACAGCATTCGCCTCTCCAACAGCCGCCATTCCAATGCGGAGTGCGGGGGTCTTTGGGGCCAAGCGAACCTCTGGGGCCCACGCTACCCTTATGTAGCTCCCGACGATATCTACCAGGGTGGGCAACCCAGAGAGAATCGAAGCCATGGCAGCGCACAGTGTACAACTGCGCTTAAGAGTGTGCTCAATTCTTTCAGCCTGCATTGGAGAGAAGTCGCGTAGCTGCGTTCCCTGGGCAGCCAGCCACTCAGCGCGCCTGTTGCCTCTGATCGCTACCAGCCCCCCGGGGCCCTCAGTTTGCCCCTCAGCCCCATGGGCCTTAAGTCCCCCTTCAGGTCAGCCAGCCCACTGGGAGATCAGCAGCGAGTTCGCGAGAACAAGTTATGCGAGAGAGCAGGTTGGGGATTACAGCATGTTTTAAGCGAAGCTAGCGGGCAGCTGGCAAGCCTCCTCCAGCATGGACAGCGCACGCCACGAGCGCGGCCGGCCCCCCCAGCCCCGGGCGCTTGGCCGAAAAATATTTGGAGCGGGCCCAAAATCCCACGCGCGTCTCCTTGGTCGCCCAACTCACAGACACCAAATCCCGCGCGCGAGCTCACCAAGCAAGGGCCTTGAGCACCTGCCACCAGGGTAGAGTTGAGCACCGCGGGCGCACTCAAACCTATCGCACGGTCCTGAGGCACCGCAGGCTCTGGGACATCAAGCTTAGGCAGCCAGGCTCGCGCGCACAAGAAACCTGCTCTCCTGCAGACAAGGCATCCGGGAGAATCCCAGGCGCGCAGGTTTCCGAACGTTTCCTGGCGGCAAACCTACGTTGCCAGCACTGATGGAATCCAGCGTCCGGCTTCTCAGCCGCGGGAACTGCCCCTGCCATGGCTCGCCTCAGGACAGCGACAGCACGAGGTGGCAGCTCGCGCGCCAAGCGAGGAACCTGGCCATGAGATCCCACCAAAGACCTCGTTCCTGGAGGGCAAGGGCCCCAGGGCAGGGCGGAGGTCGACAACTTCCTCGGCGGCGGCCTGCGCTCTGGGAAAGTTCATCCGGCAAACAAACCCCCTGGCAACATAAACATCGGGGAAAACGTCAAGTTCGATTTCAATACCTACGCGTTCTACCAGGATAGAGGAGCCCCCGAACGCCCAGCCCCCTTCCGTGACCAACACATTAGGGTCCACAATTGCCACCTTGCTTCACTTAGGACCATTGGCGGTTGGTCGGCGGAGTCTTTGGAGCACCTGCTGCAGCTGCACGAAAAAGCATTGCATGCACTGGGGAGAGACTGTCAGCCTGCCCAAGCTGCACGCCAGTTCGAGGGATGGTCGCTCGCCACCACTCCGCCGCATACCTAAGCACCATCACGCCGGCAACTTCCAGCGGGCCTCTGCTGTTGGACAACCCGCGAGCTAAATCCGCGTCAACCCCGCAAATCGGGACACCACCGGCCGCAGAAGCTAGAAGGCGCAAACTAATTACCAAGCGCGGGCGGAAATCATTCATGCCGCCTGCGCAAGTGGCCGATGGGATTGCATTAGAACCTAGAAGACAACCCTTACGTCCACTCTTAAAGCCTTTAAAATCTTCCCGGCTGGAGGTCGGCACACGCGAAGCCAACGCGTGGCTCGGGCGGGGCGGGCCCCGAGCGCCCTCGCCGATTCCCCGCGCGAAAACCAATTCTCAGATACGCAACCGAGTACCCCCCTTGGGCTCCGCGCTCCTTGCCAACAGCTCCCCCTGCAACTTCCAAGGCGCGATTGGATGGAGCAACCATGCGAAGTCTGTCCTCGGCGAGGGACAGCCCAAGCTCAGGGGCAATCGGATGACCGACATCACTGGGGCGCCGGGCAAGCCCCATCGCAAGGGCGACCAGATCCGCCCCCCACGCGGCGGGTTAGGTCATCGACACGAAGAAACATGGGCACCCTTCCGGAAAAGAGGGCGCCCTTCGGGAGAGAGGCCGAGCGCGGGCTTCAGAGCAAGCTTAGCCTCCTCTCACGCGGCAGGCGAAGAACCAGCGACATTCCTCGGCGGGCGCCCCCCCCCCCCGCCCGCATGCGAGCAGCGCCCCGTCGCGGAGACGGCGAGGCCACTTAGAACTGCGAAGCCTGACAACGAGACTTGCGACGGGGAAGTCGAACTGGCCAGCATAGGAAAAAGGCAACGCGCACGGGGCATGCTCATCGGACTGCATCAGGCCCCACATAACAGCAATAGGATGGAGCTTTTGGTCCCAGGCCCCTTCAGCAAGAGCTGCCTGCCTCCAAGCCGCGTCGGCCAGACTGCGGCGTTGGGCACGTGGACACTCAGACCCCGCTCCCTCGCGGCCCTGCCACCGACAGAGATCGCCCTTGCCCAGCTTGCCGCGCAGGCGAAAAACAGACGGGCAGTGACCAAGGGGGCACCGACCCCCCGAGGTCTCGCGCGCACGCGAGACGACGAGACGCTGGAGTTCGCGCGGGCCACAGCCTGTTGGGCCGATTACATGAAACAGCTCTGCGAGCACATCCGGAGACTGGTCCAAGAGCCCGAAGCGCCGCGGACGCCGCCCATCAGGGGTGCATGCGGTCCGTCCAAATCGCCCACCGATGGATCTGAGGACCTCCACCGAGGCGAGAAGACGGACAGGGACTGGCAATGGCCAAGCCTCGGACTGAGCAGGGCGAAACTCGGCCTTCCAGGTTTCCGCTCATGCCAGTTTTTCAACCCGCGCCCGAGCGGCGAGCGCGGCGCGCCCCGGCGTTTCCCTGGGGCGCCCAGGGCCCGAGACACCAACGGCCACGGCGGCAGGCACGCCACGGATGAAGCCGCGGAGGAGAAGCCGCGGGCATGACGCGCACCCCCCCCCCCCCTTTAGCATCAGCGCACCGGCCCGCCCATTCTTTCCGGCGGATCTGGGAAGCAGAACGAAGCATGCGATCGCGCATGAACAAGGCGAAACTTAGAATCTGGTCAGGCACACGCCCTGCGCGCCCAGCAGGCGCCCGAGCAAATGCACCGGCCCCCTCCCCCCCCCAAAAAAAAAACAAAGCGCCAGTGGCTGCCGCTCTCGCCCAAACCTAGCGGAACGGACCTCCGCGGAGGACCTCCGCGGACCAGGGCCCAAAAGAAACGGACGAAGATGTTCGCGAGGTCTGGGCGGCTTCCGACTTTCAAACCTCGATCACGCGGTGCCTTCACTGGGGGCGCCGGCTGGATAACCCGGCTCCGGGCCCCCCGGGGCCCGACGCTCCCGCGCCTTCGCGCGGGGGGCGTCTCGCAGCGGGGCAGCCCCTCACTGGAACTTTTCGGCCCACGAGGCCTGGCCCATGGTGCCCAGTGACATGGCGCAGCCCCCCATCAGCAGCGTCGCTCCATTTCTAAATCATCCAGAAGCGCAACGGCGGCCGACTCCGCATCCCGTCGAAAATCGAACTTCTCGCCAACGCCAACGAGGCCCGCGAAACTGCCGGGCGCCCGGCCGCGCTGATCGCACACCCGCGGGGGAAGCAACAGCCCAAATACACCTTACGGAAGGATATCCCGGCACTCGCAGGAAACGCGCACCTTCTGATCGGCTGCGCCGGCAAGCCCGAGCCAAACAGGACTACGCGGGGCGACGGGCGCATCCTGCGCGACACCAACTTTTGCAAGTAGGCCCAAGACTTCGTCAATCAAGCAGAAACCAAGTGCGATCATCCAATCGACGCGAGGGAGCACCCGCGCCCGCGCGGGTCACGCCGCACAACCCGGCCAAGGGAATAACAGCATCCAGCTTCTCTGGGAAAGCATGCCAGTCGCACTCTCATGCATAAGGGAACTGAGCATCGAGAACAGTGCCCCGGTTGTTCCAGGATCATGAAATTTCGCGGAGAGAAACATTCACCACGAAGAGGAAACAAGACCTGAGAAGTAACTCCCACAGGTCCTCGACACAGAGGAAACAGCGCGCACGCCGACCACGGACCAGTTAACCTCCGTCGCGCCGAGGCGGTGCTTGACGAGAATAAATACCCCTGCCGACGCGCGCCCTTGTCCGCGATACAGCAAGGCCCGCCACAAGAACGCCACCCAGTCTTTCGGAGCGCTGCCATGTCAGCTGTGAACCGATCATCAGTCACCCTCTGTTCTTGAATCATTGCAGTTTTCCCCAGTGAATCCAATATAGTTCCAATCGCGGTCCAATTCGCGCCATTGAGAACCCTCTGTTAGATGTAGAGATTACCTGCTGAATTGGCGATCCAGGCTTTGCCGAAACCTCCTGCAAAGTGAAGGGGCACCGATCGCGATGTTGAGCCTGTCCGCAAAGACCCGATCATCTGCGAAGTAGCCGCCCCGGCCCCTGGGCTGTCCCAGGCCCAGTGGGGCAATAAGGAAATCACCCTTCCCTCCAGCGATTCGACGCAGCAAGACCCCTCGCCTCTGGTCCTCGCAAGCCCAGGGGGGGGGGCTCTACCAAACTAGAGGCGGGCGTCGTTTGCTGCACCGTCTCTACGATCTGGGGGCCAGGATAGGATGAAGACGCGGCACCAGCTGCACACATCTGCGGAGCCGCTGGCCCCACCCGGGGCCATCCCAGGCCCGATGGGGCAATGGAGAACGCGTCCCTACCCCCAGAGACTCAGCGCAGCCGCGCAGGGCCTCCCGCCCCTGGTCCTCGCAAGCCCAGGGCAGGGCTCGAACAAGCCAGAATTGGGTTTCGTTTGCTGCACCGTCTCAACAATCCCAGGGCCAGGGTAGAGTGGCAGAGCAGCGAAAGTATTTGAAGTAGACGCGTAGCCCGCCATCCGCGCCCTTGGTGGTCTGAGCAATAGGGTTGGTGGCTGGTCTAGGTGCATGTCCACGTGTCTGCGCGATCGGTTGGGCCTTTTTCGTAAAACCTGTCAGAGGGTGCAGACGCGGGAGCTGAAGAACCTGAACCAGACCCAGGCGGCTCGACAACGCTTTGGTCATCATCTCCACGACACTTCTTGACGAGTCCAGCCGTCTGGTCGTCATGCTGCTGACGTAGAGATTCCGCCTGTGCTCTTCTCTTGCCAGACACAACAAAAGTTGCCTCTCGGTGTTTCTGCCGTCCACAAGCTCAGTGGGCCCAGAGATATCGTCGGGCCCAAAAGTAGCTCCACCTGCCCATCCAAAACTGCAGCCAAACTGAAACGTGTCGTAGCAACGGCTCGGGATTGGCCGATGCCTGCCGCGTGGACCTCCTGAACTGCTTGGCGATAAGTGTCATCATGCTGCTCAACCTGGCGCAAGACGTCCTTAATCTGGGTGGCCTGGTGTTCAAAATGCTGCTGGGGGTCTTTCGTACTGGTCAACCAACTTCCGCAACTTGTTGCCCAACTGCCTGAGTAACTGGTTTCGTTGGCTCGCTGCTGGGCTGGGACGTCTGGGGCAGCTGGCGTCGATTGGGCCAACGTGGCCCGATGCGCGTATGCCGAAGTCTGGTCACCCAGCTTGTCAGAGAACGAAATGACCGAGTTGATCTCGACAGGGGAGGGTGAAACCCCTCCGTCGTTGAAGGGCGAAGCAGCACTCTGGTCTGTGGCAGTGGCTGGCGCCCTGTTTGAGCCACGAGGCGTCTTCTGCCATAGAATATTGTGGTCAGGCGCGGGCCCGACATCTCGCCAACTGTTCCCACAATGCGTGCACCATGTCCACGACCATTTGTTCCGAGAACACCCGCACGACCCACAACGCCAAGCTCCAACAGGCTTGCCGCCTCTAGAAGGCGCCATGGTACCGCCAGGGACCCTGGCAAAGTCGCTGTTATGAACCAGAGTTCCTGCAGGAGCTCACCGCTTGCCAAAAACTCGTCTAACCTGGAAAACGAGGGATGCTGTGGGAGCCGTCTTCTCCCTCTTGCCAAAAGGTCAGGTCCTGAGCCGAACCGCTAGGGACTTGAGCCAAAATGGCTACGCCCTTCTCCTCCTCCTCCTGATCCACCTCCTCCTCCTCCTCCTCCTCCTCCTCCTCCTCCTCCTCCTCCTCCTCTCCATCCTCATCCTCCTTCTCACCCATACTCCTCCTCCTGCTCCTCCGGCCTCCTCCACGTCCACATCATCACCATCATCACAATCACCACCATCATCAGCGTCATCATCAGCAGCAGCAGCATCATCAGCATCAACAGCATCAGCATCAGTATCAGCATCATCATCATCATCATCATCATCAGCAGCAGCATCATCATCATCATCACCATCATCATCATCATGAATCATCATGATCATCATCATCATCATCAGCATCATCATCAGCATCATCATCATCATCATCAGCATCATCATCATCATCATCATCATCATCATCATCAGCATCATCATCATCATCATCATCATCATCATCATCATCATCATCAATATCATCATCATCATGATCATCATCAGCATCATCATCATCGTCATCACCATCAGCATCAGCAGAATCAGCATCATCATCAGCATGACCAGCATCACCACCATCACGATCATCATCATCATCAGCATCATCATCATCACCATCATCATCATCATCATGAATCATCATGATCAGCATTATCATCACCATCATCATCATCATCATCATCACCATCATCATCATCATCATCAGCATCATCATCATCATCATCATCATCATCACCATCATCATCATCATCATCATCATCATCATCATCATCATCATCATCATCATCATCATCATCATCATCATCATCATCATCATCATCATCGTCGTTATCGTCATCGTCACCGTCATCAGCAGCAGCAGCAGCAGAAGCAGCCTCCTCCTCCTTCTCCTCCTCATCATCATCACGATCAGAATGAGCATCATCAGCAGCAGCCGCAGCAGCAGTAGCAGCATCCGCCAGCATCGCAAACGTAAACACCATCATCATCAGCAGCATCATCACCATCGCCGCCATCGTCGGCATCGTCATCATCATCAGCATCATCAGCATGACCAGCATCATAGTTATCATCAACGACGAGATCATGATCATCACCACCACCACCATCGACAGCAGCATCATCATCATCAGCAGCATCATCATTCAACACCATCATCATCAGCATCATCATCAGTAGCATCAGCATCATCAGCATCAGCATCATCAGCATCATCAGCAGCAGCATCAGCATCATCATCATCATCATCAGCAGCGGCAGCATAATTCTCAACATATCTATCAGCTCAATTGACATCATCAACATCGTCAACGCCGTTGACATCGTCGTCCTTACCGTGATCAGCATCAGCATCAGCATCATCATCAGCATCATCATGAGCATCATCACCGTCGTCATCGTCCTCATCGTCATCACCTTCAGCATCAGCATCAGCATAAGCATCATCAGCATCATCAGCATCATCATCAGCATAAGCATTATCATCAGCAGAATGATCATTAGCATCAGCGTCAGCATCATCATCATCATCATCATCATCAGCATCATCATCATCATCATCACTAGCAGCATCGTCGTCATCATCATAATCATCATCATAAGCAGCAGCAGCAGCAGCAGCATAAGCATCATCATCAGCATCAGCATCGGCATCATCATAACAACCAGCATCATCGTCAGCAGCATCATCGTCATCATCGTCATCATCAGCATCATCACATCAGCATCATGGTCGTCATCATCATCCGCATCATCATCATCAGCAGCAGCATCATCATCATCATCAGCATCATCATCATCAGCATCATCATCATCATCATCATCATCATCATCATCATCATCATCATCATCATCATCATCATCATCGTCATCACCATCATCATCATCATCAGCATCATCTTCATAATCATCGGCAACATCAACATCATAGTTACTCAGGATCCCTCCACGTCATCCCTCCTCCTCATCCTCTGACTCCTCATCCTGATCCTTCCCCCCTTCCTCCTTCCCTGTTTGCCTCTTCAACATCCCGCCCCGCACGCCCTTGGCCCCACCTGGGTCACCTCCAGGCGCCACATCGACCCAGCTCGACGCTACGCCACCAGCCCAGAATACGTTGGCCTGCTCTTGCTGACGGAGTAAAGGCGGAAGGAAATCAGGACGACGAGGAGGAGGAGAAAGAGGAGGAGGACGTGGACCAGCAGGAGGATCAGGACGGGGGGCAGGAGGAGGCCCGGGACGAGAGCGAGCAGGGCCAGGAGGACGATGGCAGGGGAGCGAACGAGACGCCGGCTGCCCCGCAAACGCGGCACCCCGTGCCTCGTTGCGCACCCCATCCCAGGCCGCGCGGCAGCCGCAGGCGCCTGCGCCTCCACGCGAGCGTGGTCGATGAGCGTGCGGGCGTCGGCTGTCAGGCCACTCATTGCGCAGCCTGGGGCCAGCTGGGCGTACGATGCGGATGGGGAGCACGGACATACATATCTAGATATATAGGCCTATACATCTATGTGTGTACATGCATATAGTCAAACTCTTGGCGTCGCGGCCACACGCCCGGCGGCGCGGCGTAGAACGGTCGGAGAACCGCGCGCATGGGCCGGGCTCACGCGGCGGGGAAACGCACACACAAACACACACACACACACACACACACACTTTCCGTCGGCGGCTAGGCAGAATGTCTGCGCTGGCGGGTGGAGCAAATGCAGGGCATACAAATGAGAATTACGCCGCAACGCACGTGAAGACGAGTGGGAACGCCCGGCGCGGGAAGAGGGGAGACAAAGGCCGGGCCCGCTCAGAGCGGGGCCCGGCGGCGGCAGGGCAACGGCGGGACGGCGGGGCGGCGGCCGCGGGGCAGCCGGGGGGGGCAGCAGCCAGAGGCAGCCGCGCGAGGCGGGGGGGAAACAGGCCCAGGCGGTGCTGGGGAGGGGCAGCACAGCAAGGCGGCTGAGCGCTGAGATCGAGTCGACCTCCCAAGCGACAGAGCAGCCAGAGAAGACCACCTCATGGGAGGGTCCGGGGGGGAGCTGGGAAGGGACCAGCAGGCGGAGCTATACGAAGCGCCGAGATCCACAGACCTGCGAGGCGCGGGGGATGGGCGGCCCGGATACCTGGCAAGGAATCGTGGTGGGCGTTGCAGCGAGAAAGCAAGCCAACCGGCTAAGCCGGCACGAGGACTGTGGGCTGGCCTGAAAACCAAGCAACATGGTGGGGGCCGCTGGCTGGGGGGGCGGCCAAGGCCAGCCGGCCCCGAAGAGGGGGGGGCCAGACAGCCAGGGTGGGGGCAGCAGGCGGGGCCTGCCCAAAAAGCTTCAGACAGCCGGCGATCCGACCTGCCGAGGCAGGGGATGCAGCGGCGGGGCAAGGGCCCACCCAGGCGAGGGGGGCGGCAGCACGGGGGGCGACCGGGGAGGAGGCGCGCGGCAGCCAACGGCGAGCGGCAAGACCAGCCCGCCGAGGACAAACGCAGCGGCCGCTGCCGGAAGGGCAAGGCGCGGGCGGCGCGGCGCGCCGCGGCCGTGGGCGCTGGAGGGCCACAGCCCCGCGGCGGGGGGGCAGGGCAGGCGGGCAGAAAAGCGAGCGCAGTACACCAGGGGGGGCCGAGTGCGCACGGGGGGGAGCACCAACCTCCGCCTCCGCCTCCGCCTCCGCCTCCGCCTCCGCCTCCGCCTCCGCCTCCGCCTCCTCCTCCTCCTCCTTAAGGGTGCAAGGGGGGCGGAGAATGCACCGAGCAGGTGCAGCAGCGCGGCGGGGAGCCGGCGGCCCCGCGGGAGGGGGCCGCCAAGCAGGGCGAAGGGGGCGGAGCGCGGCGGGCAGGCGCGGGCGACGGCCAGTGGTGGCAGCAGCCCGGCGCGCACGGGGTCTGCAGCGCAGGGGGCCTGGCTACTCGAGATTTCGTAATAAAGGGAGGGGGGTCTCATTTCGGGGGGGGTCTTTTCCAAGCTATCTTGGAGGGCCTGTGGGGGTCTGGGGACGATGATTTGGAGGGTTCTCCCACGGGGGAGGTCTGAACTGGCTTGTCTTGGAGGGTCCAGACCTCCTCCCTTTTATTACGAAATCTGGAGTAGCCAAAGGCGGCCCAGCCAGACGGGGGGTAGCGCCGCACAGGCACGGGCGCAAGTGGACAGTCGTGCCCAAGGCGGGGCGCGCAGCGCCCGAGTGGGAGGGGCGAGGGGAGCGCACAAGGATGCTCAGAGCACGTCGGACCCCAGCAAGCCGCTGCCAGCGATGACCGTGAGCCCCAGACCACCGCTGACGCGAGGGGTCGTTGCTGGACCGGGGAGATTCAGCAGGACGTTTGCCTTTTTCCTGACGGGGAGGGCCCTTCCCTTTGCCTTTGGAGCCCTGAGCGCTGAGCCTCCTCTTCTCCATCTCCAGCTCGCAGGAGGCGCCCCGATCGACGTGAATGCGCTCGTTGCGGCAAAGCGTGCGGACGTCGAAATTGGACTGGATGGGCTCTGACACGAAATCTTGACAAAAGTCACGGGGGTGCCGGCTAGGGTCCTTGGAAGATCCGTGCCCGAATCTGTGGTCACATATGGCGTTCCAGCCAATGGTCAGCATGGGGCCACACTCTTTCTTGAGGGAGGTGATCAACTCCTGCCAGGTATCCTCCCGACTGGCGGCGTAATTCCAGCAGGGGTGCCAGCGAATGTTCTGTCGCGGCTTGCGGTACAACATGTCATCGGCGTTATGATAGGTGGGTGTAGTTTTGCGGGAATCGACGTGCGATGGGGGGGGTCAGCCTGGCGCCAAGGCGGGACGCGCTCCGCCGCATCGCTCCCGTGATCCCTCCTGGAAGCCCCTGGACTACGCTGTTCATCGGCACGGGGGGTCTTACGCACATGTTCGTCCTCTTTGCCCCCAGAGGCGCCCGTCGGACTGCTCGGCATGCAGCACCTGCCCGCGCTCAGGGCTAGGCGCTGGAGGCTTGTCTCCGGGTCGCTGCAATGAACCTCGCGGGCTGCGCGCGGGCTGTGCCGCGCCGCGTCGTTGCCCAGGTTGGCGGAGCTGTCCGGGGGACGCCGTTCCTGGTCGCCGCTCCAGTCGTAGCGGGCTGAGTTGTGAAGCGAGAGCGTGGCGCTGAGGGCGGGTCGGGGAACTGCTGCCGAGCCGCCTGCGGACCGTCCCTCGGGGATCGCTGGGCGCGTCGATCAGCCGCGCACGCCCGCCCTCGCTGCTGCCGTGGGGTGACGCGCTGGGCCTCACTCCTTGGGGGCGCTGGAGGCAGGGGCAGTCCGAGTCCGCGTCTCTCGGCAGGGCACACAGCGGGAGCGTTGGGCCCACTGGTCCCGCCGTCCGTCCCCGCCTCCTTGTCCTGACGGTGGGCAGGGGTGCCGCGGGCCGGGGCGCTGCTACTGGCAGACGAGAGGGCCTGCTTCCTTCGTGCGGCAGCTGCCCGAAGCCCGGCAACGTGTGGGTCCCGAAGGCTCCTGATGCTCTTCGAGCTCAAGTAGCCAAGCAATACTTCCTGGCTGTACCGCGCGGGGTCACGACCTCTCTTGCTGGCCTGGGGGTCGTGCTTCAGACGGTGCGCGTCCCATTCGTCGGGTCCGATGGGGCACTGGGAGGAGTCGTGGCGCCTTTGGCGGTGCAGGTGACTGACCAGCTGCTCCAGGGAGGCGTGCCTACCGTCCCATCGGACACCCTCGGGGAGCCCTGAGGGGGGAACGGCGCCGCCGTAGATGGTGGAGAGGAATTGCTGGCAGCAGGACGCAGGCCAGGCCCTGGGGTCGCCAGGCGCTCCTGATTGATTTCCTGACCTGAGGAGGGAGGAGCCCTCGTGCTCGAACGCCCAATTCCTCCAGCGCTCGTCGACCTGGGGGGATAAGGAGCGGGCATAGGCGACCATGATGTGAGCGATGGTGTTGTCCGCCCTCCTGGCTGTGGGCTCGGGGTCGACGTGCCCGACGGCTTCCAGCGAAGCGATCTCCCTTACCTTGAGGGGCGGGCAGGTTTGTGGGTCGACCGCGGGGAGGTCGTCCAGGAGACTGGCGGGAAGCCGTGGGGGCGGAGTCGGCGGCCTGTCCCGCACCTCACCGCCAGTCCTTCCAGCCGAGAAGGGACGGTCGGGTTTGGCCAGCGGAGGCGTTGGGGGGCCTGTGGTTGCCTGGGCGATGGTGATCAGGCGACGGGCTGGGGCGATGGTTTGGTGGCGGGGGTGGGAGAGCGGCGAGGATCGCCGCTGCTGGGGCTGGACGGGCGCCCGCGCGGGGACAGCGTTCGTCTGCCCCGCGGTGCAGCTATAGCTGAGGCGCGCCGGTGCGCCCTGCGCCTGGGTGGCCCACTGGCGGGCACTGAGCTGGGACTGCCGGAGCTGCTGGGGGGCTGTCGGCGGGCCGGGCTGTGGTCCTGCTCGGGTCGGGCGAAAGGGGGGGATAGCAAAGGGGGGGGGGGGGGGAGAATCAGCTCGCGTAGTTAGCTGATTTTCCCGGCGCCTCCTGGCTCCGGAGGCGGCTATGTATCGAGGAATGGGCCCCTCGGTGGAGCCGAAACCAGCTGCACGCAGCAGATTTCGTAACCCCCCCTTTCCCAATCCCCCCCTTTCGTCCGGCCCGACCTGCGGGCGACGCCTCCGCGATGGCGGGGGCGGGGGGGCAGGTAGGGCGGCGGGCAGCTGCGGAGCTTGCCGGGGCGCTGCATCCCGCGGGCCCGTGGCCCCAGGTCCGTTGCTGCCGTCGTCCGGGGGGGAGAGCCTCAACGGGTCGTCCTCACCGTCGGGTGCGCTGAATGATGGCTACTGGCGACGATCCTTGGATGGAAGGTGAACACTCTCACACACACACACACACACACACACACACACACACACACACGCGCGCACGCACACACACACACACACACACACACACACACACACACACGCGCGCGCACACACGCGCACGCACAAGTCATACGCCAAAGGCAAGTGGACGCTGACAGTACTGCTCAACGCTGCGCTTGACACATGCGCTGATCATGCACAAGATCAAAACTCAGATTGGCACGAAATACTTCCCTCTGTACCATGGTCGTCCACGCATTGCACGGACGTCCACAGCGCTGATACACCGCTGGCTGCCAAGCTAGGGGCAGCCAAAAGCGGAGGGAAGCTCGCGTTGACCTTGCTGCTGGCGTGACTGCGGCGTCGCCACTCTCGACGGGCCCCATCGACGAGCGCACCAGAGGGAAGGAGGCATTGTAGGGAAAGGAGAGCGATCAGGAAATGCTTCGGCTTCGGAAGCTGCAATAAGACCAGAAGGAGGAGGAGACTGCACATACATATATCTGGGAGAGGCTTATACCATGAGTTGTGTACGTGGGGTCTCCCTGACTGATTTCTTCTTCAGGGTGGATCATTAACGGGCTTCTCATTTCAACGGGTTCGGGCCTTCAACTAGGTAATCGTATAGGTGTTTCACCAGGACCCCCTGTCGGGCCTTCCCATGAGAGGTGTACTAGGCTTTCCACTGGGCTTTCGACACGGCCTTCTATAAGATTTCCTACGATGCCCTCCACAAGCCTTCGACTAGATCTCCGCATGCGTGTTCTACAAGTTTGATGACGGGCATTCGAGTAAGCGTTGCACCGAGCCTATGTCATACAATGCTGCCTACGAGGTATTGTAGAAGGCCTCCTACTGCACCTTCGAATCCCACCAGCCCTTTGGGCGTGAGTGGTTTAGAGAGCCCGCTCTGTCCTCAACCCCCCTTCTTCCCCTTCGGGGAGGGGTTTACCCCTCCCCCTACCCCCTCCCCCTGGGCCTGGAGAGGGACCCCCGCGGGTGGTCAGAGGGGTCTTTTCGACTCCTGGGAGGGCTAAAAAACGACGATCCTCACGAGGATTCTGGCCCCGACGGGGGGAGGGAGTTTGGCCCCTCTGCTCGTCTTTGAAGCAGAAATCATTGATTTTACTACGGTTTTGGCCCCATTTTGGCGTCCTGAGGGGGCCGCGCTCATCTTCCCTCATAGCAAAATCATTGATTTTACTAAGGTTTTGGCTCATTTTGTCCTTCTCAGGGGGCAGCGCTCCTTTGCGCTTCTGAGGAGGTCGCAAGAGGCCCCAAGATGGCCCCAAGAGGCCCCCAGGAGGCTCCCAAGAGGCCTCCAAGAGGCCCCCCAGAGGCCCCCAAGCGGCCCCAAGAGGCCCCCAAGAGGCCCCCAAGAGGCCCCCAAGAGGCCTCAAGAGGCCCCAAGAGGCCCCCAGGAGGCTCCCCAGGGCCCCCAAGAGGCCCCCAAGAGGCCCCAAGAGGCTCCAAGAGGCCCCCAAGAGGCCCCACGAGGAGCCCGAACGACTCACACCAGGACGAGGGGCCCGAACGACTCACACCACGAAGAGCCCGAACGACTCACACCACAAGGAGGGGCCCGAACGACTCACACCAGGACGAGGCGCCCGAACGACTCACACCACGAGGAGCCCGAACGACTCACACCACGACGCGGGCCCCGAACGACTCACACCACGAGGAGCCCGAACGAGTCACACCAGGAGGAGGGGCCCGAACGACTCACACGAGGACGAGGGGCCCGAACAACTCACACCACGAGAAGCCCGAACGACTCACACCAGGACGAAGAGCCCGAACGACTCACATCACGAAGAGCCCGAACGACTCACACCAGGAAGAAGGGCCCGAACGACTCACACCAGGACAAGAAACCCCAAACGACTCAATCCACGAGGAGCGCTTTCTCTCCCTCCTCCTCCGCCTCGTCCTTCTCCCGCTCCTACCACAAGGAGGATGTACAAGGAGGCGGGAGGAAGGAGGAACAGGGGAGATATGCGGGGGCAGGCGGAAACACGCCTGAAAAACACGACTGTCGGCATGCTTCGCGAGAGTTGCTGTTTTGAGATGGGCTGGTGGGGATACGCGAAGCGTAAAGAATTAGCCTTACAGCTACCATGTTTCATCTCTGGCATGAGTTGAGTACTACACATTTGCATGTCGCAAAGCTTCGCTCTCGACTTTCCGCCAAGCATTCCACTCAGCGTCCTTCAATCCCCACGCGTCACGTTGACAAGCTTTCTACAAAGCCTGACAGCACGCCGTCTTGTAGTCCTTCCTGGAAATGGGCCTCGCCCATACTGTGCAAACGTGCTTGCTTGGTCCTTCTTCCATGTGCCTCAACGATGCTTTGAACAACAAATGTGCTGTCAATGTGCTATGTTGCTGCATGTGCTGTCCTCTCCTTCGTTCGGAGTGGACCGCACCTCGGTCACCGAAACAGGAAGTAATCAAAAAAATGCTAGAGACTGATATGCGGTCCTTACCTTCCAGCACTACCGTAGGCCGCACTCACCGGGACAACTGTCACGGGCTACACTGACATCAAACTGCACCCCCAATGTACGGCAACGTGCGATAGACCAGGAATCCCGGTAGAACAGCGGGTCGGAGGCCCAGAAACAGTTAAATTCCATGCTTCAGAGCCCACTCTGGCGGCTAAGACCTCCAGTCTTCTGGCTCTGGAGCCTCTTGGTGGATTCAAGACCCCCCGTTAGCAGTGCCCACAGGGAAAGCTGGCATAGAAGAGGAAAAAAATGCGTAAACATAAACTGTTGGCGCTCCGCGCAGATTTCTTGGATCTGCGCTGGACCCCTCCCTGGCGAGCGGAGCGCGCCAGGGGCGGCGCCGGAGGCGCCGCCAGGGGACCCAGCGTGGATCCAAGAAATCCGCGCGGAGCGTCAAAAGTTTATCTTTATGGCGTCTGTTTCTCTTCGATGGCAGGCGGGGGGGCGGACCCATGTGCTCGTCGATCTCATAGATCTTCTCGATGGTGCTGGGGTCGATGAGCGGCGACCTCGGCCCAGAGGCAGCGTCACACTGCAGATACGGCCCAGCGAAGCTGCCACTATTATCACACCCCGACACGACCTGTGGAGGGCCTGGGGCCCTGGGCCCGCCCCGACAGGCCTCCGCAGCATCCAAGAAACGCTTCTCGCATCCAGCACGCGCCAGCTGGGCAGCGAAGCTGGAACAACGCCCAGCTGCTACCCTTTGAAACCCTTGGAAATCTCGAGCGCTAAACGAACTGTCTTTCACCTGGCAATGCGGATGCATGGAGAGACCATGGTAACAAATGCACTTGGTCGCCGATGGAGTTATGACAAAGCCTCGCACAGTCGGGGCGCCAGGCAAGCGAGAAACGACGAAATGCCAACGTGGCCCCACGATTTGCTACCCAAGGAGTCGAGGAAGATGAGGAAGATGGGAGGGAGCCCAGACCTGCAGCAACTGGACATTTTGTCTGTTGCCCCGTGGAGCGAACATGGCAATGCGATCCATGATCTGATCTGAAGCACCGTGCTCGGGCGGTCATATTGGTAGTGCCAGGGCGGTCATATTGCCTGCGTTTCCTTCTGTCCTCCCCCCAGCGATGCCGAAGCAACTCGACAGCTCCGAGCCGCAGGACCCCCGAACGATCGACCCCATCCCCAAGTCGTAACCTGGTCAAGCCTGACCGGACAAGAACGGGAAGAGTCCTTCTGTGTCCTGGGCTTATGAAATATCCTACGTTCTTGGTATGCGCTGCGCAAGTCAGTCGTGGCGTGCGAGCGTTTGCGCGTGCGCGTGCGTGCGTGGAAAATGTGCATGTGTGTCCGTGCGTGGTGGTTTGCAGCACCGCTGTGTTGTCCCGTACTGCTCTGCCGTGCTCCTGCGGTCTGCGTGAACGTATGTTGCCTCCCTGTGTGCGTGTGTGCGTGTGTGTGTGTGTGTGTGCGCGTTGGTGTTTGTGTGTGTGTCTGTGTGTGTGCGTGTGCGCGTGCGTGTGCCTGTGTGTGCATGTGCCTGTGTGCGTGTGCCTGTGCGTGCGGCTGTGCGGATAAATGTTCTGGGTGTTCTGCCGTGTTCCTGCGTGTTCTGCCGTGTTCTTATGTGTTCTGCCATTCTCCTGTGTGTTCTGCCATGGTATTGCTCAGCCGTGTTCCTATCCTGCCGTGTTCCTGTGTGTTCTGCCGTGCTCCCGCGTGTTCTGTCGTGTTCCTGCATGTTCTGCCGTGCTCCCATGTGTTTTGTGTAATCTGCCGCGCTCCTCCACCAGAGCTCGCCAGACTTGAGCCAGCGAAGCACCAGACGCTGAACTCCACGGTTTCCGAGGTCACAGTGGGGCCCGCACCTGGAATTCATAAGAGCCATAACCCGGAAGCCACGCTCATGGAGAGCTCCAGTAAGGTTGGCTGCCCCCGCGAAGAGCTCCAAGAACGCGCCACGAGGTGGTCGAGACCTCGAGGGCCCCGAATTACGCCCAAGACCTTCACGGGGGCCATGACGACGCCCAAGAAACCCATGCAGCACAAGACCTCCTGCGGATCCCTCGCGCAGACCGTCATCTTGTCCAAAATGTCCGAAGGGGCGCCGTCGAATCCCGAATCCGAACGTCTCGAACCGACTGGAACCGATCTCCCCCGCAATCAGGCAAAGGGAAGGACGTGGGATGATGGAAGGAAGAAGCTGAAGACGCATGGGTAGGAACACTTGTAGCTTTCCGGCCGCACGAGCTCGGCCACACTCCCTTGGATATGAAGCCCTCTCTGGGCGTCGGGCCGCGCCACCAGCTCGCGGCGGCCGCGCTGGGTCGGCGCCATGAGAGCCCCTCGCCCTCGACAACGCCCTGCGCGCAGGACACCTCGGTCAGCGGCTCGGCTTCCGCGATCCGCGACGCCGTTGATGCCAGGAACGCGCCGAGGGCGCCAGCGAATCTCGCACCCGGGCACACCGCCGCAGCGCGTCTGCACTGCGCCAGCAACTCAAGATTGGCGGCCCTGCCCCTCTCAAAGGCGAGGACCGACAACACGTTGCCACGCAGACTGAGGATCTCCTTGCCATGGAAGGCAACGTCGGCGGCGGCCCTCCACAGCGGCGCGACCGCGGCGCGGGCCTCAAGTGCGCGGATCCGCCCCGGGCGCCGCCACGCTCCCCTCCGCCGCTCGACCCAGCGGCCAGGGCCCGGCAGCGCGTCCGCCAGCGGCTCGGGCGGCGCCCCGACCCCCAGGCCCCAGCTCCACTCGCCGCCGCTTCGCCGCAGCATGGCGCAGCTTCGGCGGGGTCCGCAGCGGCAGCGGCTCCGACTGGTCAGCAACCCGCGGCACGGCCCTCGTAGAGCTCGTCGTCGGGCGCAACCTCCGCCTCTGCGGCGACGAAGCGCTGCCGCTCGCGCCACTGGGCGGTAGCCAGCACCTGCCAAGGCCCCAGCCTTGCCTCGCACACCGCGTAGCCCTGCAGCGAGCTGTCGGCGGCGAAGGCGACGCCCGACGGGACGCGGCAGAGGTCGACCTCCCCCAAGAAGACGAGGCCCGCCGCAGTCGCGAGCTCCCCCAGCACATCAGCAGGCAGTCGGGCCACGGGCGCCAGCTCGCCGTCGCCGATGAACGCGCAGCAGGCACCGGGCACGCTGCGCCCCGGCCGCAGGACCTGGACCGAGAAGTAGCGCACTGGGCGACCGACGATCTGCCGCGGCTGCCAGCGCGCCGGCCAGGGCCCCCGCAGCACGCGGCGCAGCGAGAGGTAGCCGCCACGCGCGCTTCGAGGTGCGCCTGAGCTCCCCCTCGCGCCCGTCGAACACCATCTCCAGGATGGCCAGTCCCAGCTGCGCTCGCCCCAGCTCGTGCCAGCGCAGGCCGCGCCTGTCGAGCTCCTCGGTGAGCTCTCGTCGAGCCAGCCGTTGATCGCCGAGGCGCTGAGCGAGACGAGGTTCCCGTTAACGACGCACGGCGCCCTGACAACCGACTGCCCGACGAGGGTCGGACCACGGGCCTCGTCAAGGCACCGGCCGTCGCGCGGGAGCCGGGCCGCATCCATCACGTCGACAAGAACCTCGCGGCAGATCCAGAGCGCCCCGCTCCACCCCGCGGGCAGCGCAGCGAAGCGCGGCCAGATCGGCCCGTCTCGGGGATCTCCTGACCGGATCAATCCAGACCCGGGTCAGCAAGAACCCACAAACTGCAATGCAGGACAAAACTGCCGCGCAGGGCTTCGCGAACCCACGTCAGCCAATATGCGCGGCCGCCTCGCGGCCACGAGCGGCTCGCTAACCCGGGTCCGCCAGAGGGGGTCTTCGCAGGATCCTGGGGGATCTGGCGCCCTGGCTGACCCCCGGCTCCATTGACCCTCGTCTCTTCAGCCCGACCGTCGGGGGCCACGCGCACCAGGCGCTTGAGCTTCTCACCATAGATCGCGTCGACCCCGAGCTCGTCGGCCGTGACCTGGACATCGAAGCACATCCAGCTCCCCCCGGACGGGTCAGCAAACCGGTGGAAACCGCCCATGAGGTCCGCCGAGCAAGCGCAGAGCGACTCGACTCGTAGCAGCCGTCGAGGTCGGCAAGGCCCCCGGGGCTCGCGTCGATCGCGCCCAGACGGTTGATCGATCGAAGCGCCTCGCCAGACGCCAGCACCGCGCGCGGGGGCAACTCGCGGAGCTGGTTCGGCTCTGACGCAGGCCCTGCGCCGACGGCGGCCGCCCGCCAGCCCGCGAGCGGCGAGGCGTCGAAGGAGGTCGGCGAGGCGCCCGCGGTTCCGAGGGGCTCGAGGATTGAGCAGCGGATCCCAGCACAGCTCGACGATGTCCTCCTCCTCAGGAATGGCGGCGACAGGACGCGCCACGTCCGACCCGAAGTTGTCGGGCACCTCAGCGACGTGCTGCGGAGCGATACGTCGAAGCTGCCGAGGTCGATCCTCAGGACTTCGTCAGAGCACATTGAGTTTGTCAGCGCCATAGTCACGACGACTAGACCATTCACCCATGTTCGAGTACTGAATCCTGCACGTGAGGAGCTCATGCAGGGCTCCAGCTGAATCCATGCCCTTCGGGGGCTCGCCGAAGCCGCGGACGCGACGTCGGACTCGTTCGATGACCGACTCCTGAGCGGTAGACGGCCTCTGCTTGCATGGCGCTCGGGGATCGAGACGCCCACCAGCCCGCGCGGCCGCCAAAGCGCCGAGCGCCCCCATGGCCTCGAGAGACCGAGCAGCACGCTTGGCCAGATGCCGAGGCAAAGCGGCACGTTCTCCCCGGCGAGGCTGACGAAAGAACCCCTCGCCTCGAGAGAGGGGGGGGAAACCTGCGGACTGCGCCCAACCCTCGGCGAAAACCCCCTCGGAGGGTTGCCCGGCTCGAAGCGCATCCGCAAGGCGCTGGTCGAACAGGGCGAGGGCGGGCCGGGCGGAGCGCCCAGCCACATCGGCGCCACCATGGCGCCGTCGACTCTGATCCTTCCCAGACCCCGGGCCCTTGGCCTTCGTCTTGGCCTTCGGGTCCGGCTTCGCGGGCCTCCCATCGCCGTTCAACCTCTCGCACTTCTTCGCCTCCGACTCCTGCTCCTCGCAGTGCTAGCGCCCCTGCTTGAGAATGATCCCCGGGCGCGCTGCCCCTGGGCCACGAAGGCGTCGAATTTCAAGGTCACCACCCCGCCGCTCTCGTCCAGGGAGCTGCTCGTCATCGGGCCACGGCCCTCGAAGCTCGGGCGACGAGTCGACGAGGGCACCGTGTCACCGCACGTTGAATCTGAAAGACACGGCGCCCCACCAACTCGAACGAAGCCAGGTTCGATGCGCCCAGGAAGTCGAAGGTCACGGCATGGCGCAACGCGTTCAGAAGTGCCGCATCTCCAGCGAGACGCCCGCGTTCTGCGAGACACCCGACTCCTAGACCCAGAACCCCCAGCACGACGCGAGCGCGAGCCCGGTCGCCAGCACCGCGGCCAGCAGCTCGGGGAGGGCCTTCGGCCCACAGAACGGCCAGTCGGAGATCTCGAGCGGATTCATCCTACCCGGCGCCTCCGAGAGCATCACCTGATGACCT